TGTTTCAAAATTCCTCTCTCAAAGGCCAATCCTGTTTCTACCACTTTTTTACTACTTATCTTTGCACTGGAGCTCAGCCATGGGTTATTTATGTGTAGCAAAGTCAGTCTCTCAATACATTTACTTGCTTTCATGAGTAGAAGGATGAGCTGTTACTATGCTAAGAGGAGGCTGACCTTAAAGACCTGGCATGCTGAATCTTTCAAGCCAAAGTAAATTACTATGTGCTATTTCTGTCACAGCTTTACCTTCCAAAATTTAATTACCTGAATTTAGAGATTTCCAGGTGTTAAGAGGGTAATGACTTCAGACCAACCTTATATACTGAGCTATGTGAAAAATCTCAGCCTTGCATGTAAAGTCTCATGCAACACGCTCAAAGCGTTGCTACAAGAGTCGGAGACTGTTACATGTGCCCACACAGTGGTGACAGCTCAGCTGCAGAAAGATGTCCTCAGTGTTTCCTGCTTCCAATGCATTGAGCTCATCACATAGCAGGGCAGATGACAGAAACAAGGGCGTGGATCCGAGACCTGTGATTATTATCTGAGAGGGCAGGTGCAGAGGAACACATTTCTCAGGCTTGAAACCAAGGAGAAAAGAAAGCAGGAACTGAGGATGAGGTGGTATCTGTGGGTCAGCTGAAGCAACAGGTACAATGATTGGCAGAGAATTTAACTGAAAACCAAAGCTCAATTTTTTCCTGTTGTCACTATGGCTACAAAATCCAGAGGGCAAATTGCAATTGCACTTTCCATCAACACACGCACAATGGAAAATGTCCAAAATCCTGAGCTGCTGCAAGTGAAACAGGCTGGACTCAATGAAGCCCCTTTTCAATTTGTTTTTACCCAAACCAATATCAAAATATGAAGATATTTCAGAAAAAAAAAAACCCTATTATGTTGGTAGATCATTATGGCTGCACAACTGATGCTGCAAACAGCTGGGAAGGTCTGATCAGCCTTAACCCTCTCTCCTTGCACTTCCCTCATTAATAATAACCCTTATTGCTTGACTCTGATTGTGGGGATTGCTTTATTTTTTTCCTACCAGACTCTTTAACATTTACATTGAGTATGCATCTAAAACGCCCCACTTACACCAGGTTTGCAAAAAACACTGTATTCGTGAAGACAGAGCAAAGAAATTACAGGAGGCCTTTACAACATCCAAGAAAGTTACTGCCATGAGAACAGTTGCATGGCATATTCCTTTCATGACTCTCTAAACAATCAATGGTTTCTTTAAGATCGTCATTGGCAATAAATGACATTGTAGAGCAGAAAAGAGAGGAAAAAACCTAGGGTGACAAGATCATGGAAAGGACTGAGACTGGATGCTGGAATAGGGAACCAAATAGCTAAGTAGAACAGCTAGGAGGAGGAGATGTCATAGGACAGAGGTTAAACAGCTTCTGAATTTTAGATTCCCCAAATGTTGGAGACTATGACATTTTTGGGCCATTAGATAAGTGTGGCAGATGTTACTGGGTTGGATCTCATCCCAGGCTCTTTTTTGCTTTCACACAGGAGCTTGAAATCCCTGGAAAAGCCTTTGGTCTTGTTGACTACACATTTCTTCCAAGCCCTGCCATTCTCAGTGCAGAACATAAAATAATCAGTTGGCAAATAGCTTTATAAAGTCTTGGAGGCTAAGGCATCCAAGGAAATAATCTATGAAAGCAATGGAACTTTTGTATGTATTTTATAGGGGAAAATGTTTCCGCTAGACAAACATATTTATTGTTTTAAAAATCCAATGTCTCCTACTATTGGTACCTGATCAACAGCAATATAACAGCAAAGAAGCCATCACTAGGAAAATACCTTCTCCTGGCCAATACAGTTACATAAGTAAATAGGTTAGCTACTGAACTGTGCTTTGGGTAAAGGCAAGTCCAGACTATGGATTCTGGAAGAACACAAAGCATCTGCCTCTGTTAAAAGCACTAATAAAGTGGAAGACATGGTCCACAACCCACCTCCCAAAGTTCAGGTCTTACTATGGCCCAGCTTCCAAAGAATACCAGGATGAAGCATGGCTGTGGGGACATGATTAAGCCTGATGTCCATTAGTACATGGAGAGTCTGTGCTATCAGCCAGAATTGAGTGAATCAGACTTAAAATAATCACAGAAGCTATTTGAACAAGCAGTCGCACCCCAAAGCACTCCAGCACTTCTCCAAAAGCAACAGCTTCTCTTCTGGTAGGATGCTCCACTGCTTCTTTATCACTCAGCTATCTCCTTTCTGTCCTTGGTATGCTACAGATTGCTACAAGCAAAGTGAGCCTCCCTGCTCCCCCACATTTGATCATCCCTAATTACCTTTCCCAACCCATTAAACAAAGTCCTTTCTTTAGAAACCCGGGGGGTTTTGTGGTATCAGAATTGCTTCTCTATTTCTGTCAAGCACGCACAGACACACGAAATGTTCTTACATCATTAAGATGCAAAACACATTGTTCTTGAGCAAGTGTTTTCAAAAGCAATGTTTCCAAAGCCAGCATTTCCTGAAGCCAGTGCTTCCTAGGGGCTCCCTTGGAAAAATAAGGGTTTAAAGAGTTGATTTCTGCAAAGCCTCATGTTCCAGTCAGTCAGTTTTGCAAAACTATTGCTATAGGCTTAGGAGCCTTCACAGTGCCATTCTCTCACTGCAGTCTCTGCACTAGGTGCCCCTCTTAAACCGCAGCATCTCTCCCTCCTCCCCTCCTTGCAAAGTAGCACAGCTGTAACTAAGCCCAAAAGCTTTGGAACTGTCACAAATCTAGAACCAGCATCACCAGTCACATCCCTTGACTATATTAGCAGTATATTTCTGCTGTATAAGGTGTTTAATAGTCAATTAATTTACTGCATGGGCATTAAAGTAGATAAATGTGTGTGTCAGAGTTTTAGGGGAAATAGGGGCAAGGTGGCTAAAGAGCAAGAGAGGAAGAAGGACTGGAATTAGGAGAAACTTGGAAACCATGTGCAGGATTTCCTTGTGCACCAAGCTGCCACATTCCCTGCTTGTCAGATCCCAGTGAAGTGGGGAGCACATCCCAGAGAGGAGTGTGTGGAGTCGCACACCTCCAGCAGCGAGGCTGGTAAACAGCGCAGGGAGGAAGGAACAGTATCTGTTCCTGTAAAATAGCATCAAGCATAAGCACCGAACAGGGCGAGGCAGCTGGGGCGGGGAAACAGACCAGACAGGAATGGGGAGATTCCTACCAGGAATGAGATTCCTGGTTCATTCAGGACTCTTGTCTGTTATTGTTTCCTTCTTTCCCAATCTCTGCTGGGAGCAGGAAGAAAGGGGAAATGGTATGTAACTTGGAGCACAGTGCTCGACCCGGACTTACCAAATCTGCCTTTGATAAGCCTCCTGAACTTTCTACGTCTTCACTTCCTCACCACTTCCCTCAGCCATGGATGGTATTTACAAGTGGCTCAGTGCTACTCTCAGGTGTCACACAGCAGAGTAAAACATCTTCTCCTCCAACCATGTGGAGCTCGTAAGACTGCACTAATCTTGAGAGTGCATCCACTAATATTTCCTTCATTTCTTTGCCATCCCTGTCAAGCCAATATTTCCTTTTTTTTTTTTTTTTTTTGCTCATCCTCAGTTATAGTATTCATTACGTCTCTAGCTGTTTACTTTGCTTCTCTTTTTTAATAAGGAGGAAATCCTACTTAATGCCCTCCCGGGATTTCAAAATCACTCATTTGCAGCAGATTAACAGTAACCGAATGGCGAAGTTTACTCCTTGGAATCTGTGACAAGTGGAAAGCAAAGATTTGGAGCACAGTTGTGGCAAATAGCTAATGTACAAAATGACAAGGAGCGTGTGATACGCAAGAGGACACTGAATTAAGTTTCTGGAAGCGAATCCAAGAAAGGTCTTTTTCAATCATTGCGCAAGATTTTTTGCTTTCCTCATCCAACACACGGCAGTGATTGGGACACACTCATACCAGGGGAGACACCTGAAGCCAGACAACCATTAGGCATGACACTGGGCGTGCCCTCATTAGAGTGCTGAGGTGTGTGAGCGCCCCATTTAGAGAAAGATAAAAGATAGCAGTTTATTTGTAAAACAGCGGAGCCCTCACCACGGTCCTTGTCTAAAGCTTCCAGCAGGGATGGTCAGGTGAGCGCTCAGGATCCATAAGGAACCTTCTCTATCCCCCCTGTCACACCACACGTTGTTGTAAAGCCAGCCTTCCTGCAGTCACTGCAGGACTTTCTCCTGATAATCACATCAAGATCCAGAGCTAGGACATTGCAAGACAGACAGTAAGCTCCCAGTCAGAACAGGTACCACGGAGAGACAACCTGTAAGATTTGGGCTCTTTTGCTAAAGGCATACTTTTAGATTTGTCGTTCATTCTTCAGGATGTTAAATGCCAACAGTTCTATGAAAAATTCACGTATGTGAGAAGCGCTGCTTCGAAGAGAACAGCTTGAGAGAATAGAAAGTGAACTGACTTGGATTTTAAGCAGTACAAGGCTGGAAAGCAATAAAGTGCGGGGATAAGCTAAGCCAACGCTGTAGAAATGTAAACATCAGGAGAAGACAGCTTTCCTGCCTACGTGCTTTTGTTGTTACACTTGTACAACAACAAATCACACTTTAAAAATTACTCCACACACACCTGAAGCTGACAAAACAGCTTTCCACTACTGATTAATACATTGCAAAGTCAACTCCACCACCGGTTAAGCTCTAGAAGGAAGTTACTAGATGTGTTTGTTGTTGTGTTTGATATGAACTAGAGGCTAAATCAGTCCATGGGACCATCAGCATTTGCATGAGCATTCCCAACTCTCTCTGCAGTTCAGGACAGACAAAAGCAGTGTCAGGTCCCATGATTACAAAATTTAACACACAAGCCTAATCCATACAAGCTGTTCAATGGATACTAAGACGACCATAAAAATAGCTTAACAAGTAATGTTGCAACTACCTATTTGTTTTCAATATTGAGGCAATTAGGGTAAACAATTAAACCTTACCTTCATTCCTTTAGTGATTCCATTTTTCTTAGATATTCCACTTTTTAAGAGGTTATTCTGTTTCTGATGATGATGATGTAGATAGCACTGGGATTAGCCATCTGTTTAAATTAGTCAGATTCTCAGTTCTTAAGGGTGTCTCAGGTCTTTCTACTGTAAAAAAGACAGTGGGATGAGAAGATAAAGTTCTTGGTTAAGGCCTGAAAGGTATCCAACTGGTCTGTCAGGATTTTCCAGGATGAGAGGAGGAACTATCTTTTGCAATATCTTCAAAACGTAAAACTTTCTTTCATACAGCTTCAGCCCCAGCAAGCTAGAATGCGAAATACATAGCAGGAGGTGTGCTCTTAAAATCTCTGAAAAATACTGCTCATTGCTGGCTCTTGCATGAACACGGCTTCTGTGAGTCAACAAGGCTGCTGCAGCTATCAAGAAGTGGGTGGATTCAGAGGCGGAGACACTTAAAGATATATTACCTCTTAAATACCTCCCAGGGAGAAACCTTGTTTCTTTTCTCCGAATTACACTCAATGCTGAGCGATGTCACTCCATGTAAAACTGCCAAAACGTTTTGAAAATTTTAATACATTAATCTGTAAAATTACATGGCTCATCTTGCTAAGCGTTTATTAGCTGAAAACTTGTGTTGCCCTGAGTAAAATAAACCCTTTTAAAAATTTCTTTTAGTGTCTTCTATGAGTGGCATGACAGACACAACATTATACCTGAAAATAACTGGAAAGCATTAATATATAGGAATAAAATGAAGATTTATCTAGAGCTAGATCCTACAGGAACACAGTGCAGAAATAGAGTGATCTGTCTCTTTAAGCTCGGTTTGGCCAGTAGTAGGATAAATGGCATGCTATTACAATGAATGAGAAAGGGAGTTTTACAAAGCTGATTCATTTAGTTTTAAAACAAGTCAGGCTTTAATCACATGTGAAACTACTAAGGATGACTAACATACATCCTTTCTTTTAAGAAAAAAAGGTTTTGAATTGTGAAAATGCATATATGGTCTTTGCTGAATCAAATTCTTGTGCTTCAGATTTTAGTGACACAAAGTATAAGCAGAAGCATCTCTGGTTGCATTTAACAGAATCCCTTCCTCCCAAAATAATTTATATTAACATGGAGACAGATTAAAGGAAAGCTGTATTATAATATCAGTTCTGAAAAACAGTTAGGATGAAAGGCTGGGAGAATAAAAATACTTGAAGTTCTTTAATTAGAAAAAATTGCTATTCCATCCTGGCAATGAAATGTAAGTTATATACAGAAAGAGCAGCCTAGAACTTGAGTATGTGGAATGCAGGAGTTGAAATGTTAAATAAACTGCTTGTGAAAATACACAGGTTGTTGGTTTTGAAAACTTATCTCAGACACATATTAAATTGCTAAAATATATTTTCTTCTTTGAAGTAATTTGCAAAGTGAGCTATCTTCAATGTACTAGAAAATTTTTGGGTCCTGCTTAAGAGTGATCTAAACCTAAATTGATAAGTCTGTAGTATTTTGGTTGAAGAAAATAACCCCTTAACTGACTAAAATGAAACAGAAGCAATAAAACACCAAAATGTTTTGCTTCACAGTTTCACAATATTCACCATCAGAAATCAGATTTTTTATCTTTTTGGTACTTTCCTAGGCAGGAATACCTCATTCTATGTGAATCAGTCTTATTTAGGTTTCATTAAAGCATCTGTAAGTATAACTCAATGACAAATGAATTGTGAATATAATAATTTCAATTATAGTGGCAAAATAAATTGTTGGTCTTAAGTGCAAAGTGTTGGTCATATTTGCAAAGAAAAAAAGGAGACTGAGATGAGGATAAGCCTGCAGGAGGAATGGTTGCTGATATCTCCTGCATACCTATCCCCTGTGGGCTGCTGATAAATGGAATAAGGTGATACAAGGCGTTCTCCCCTCCTATCAAGCTTTCTTCCTTAGGAATTGTGTCCATGATTGTCACAGCAAATCAAACACCTGTTTGAGCCATCTGCTCAGTCAGTTACTGATCATCTTCCCCTTACTGTGATAAAGACAAGGACACTTACCAGGGTAGTGCTGCTCCCCTAGCACCTCTGCCAGGTGCTCTTCCCAACAGGCTCAGCACCTTTCAAGGCACAAAGCAATAAAATTAACATATCATACGTGTCTTATTTAACTTAAAAAAACCACATTTAAATAAACAATTAAAAAAACAAAACAAAACAACAAAAAAAAAACCAACTCAGAGAAGAGCTGCCCATTCAGATATCTGTTAACCATGACCTAAAAGCCAGTTCTCACAAAACAAATACCACTAGAAGTTAACTAGAATTCCTGCTCTGATCCTATTCAGAGGAAAAGATTTATAGAAGGGATGAGCTTGGCCAAAAAACCAAAAATCATCTGTAAACAGAATGTGGTATTTTTCCTGCAGTAAAAAAATGAAAAAACCCAACAGCAACAACCCTCCCAAGAAACCCCCCCAAAACCTAAACAAACAAACAAACCAACCCCAAAAACCCAAACCAAAGAAAAAAAAGCAAAAAAAAAAAAGCAAAAAAACCCACTCAACTAAACAAAAAACCCAAATTAAACCAGAAAAAAACCCCAAAAAACAAAAAAAATAATTGTGCCCTTCAGAACTCTATCTTACTCAAAGCCTTCTCATCTATTACTCAGGCGTCTACACACATTTCTCATGTTACCTGCTACCTGCACTTAAATCTGTTACTCAAAGGTATGAGGATCTGTGCTGTCTGGATACTGGAGGAAGGGCTCAGTAATTGTCTGCTTTGCAACACAAAACCACCACTAGCAATATCCTATTTTTATCATTCTGGGAAGTGGGAGGAAATCATTTGCTGTGCTGACTGTACAACTGTATTTAACTGCAGGGGACACCAATCCTACTCAGATTGTACGTGCACTTCTCTTTAGTGGCTTGGGTGCTGGTCACTCTTCATACTTTGGCAGGAAGAGGGTGAATTTCGAAGATTACCAGCAGACCACACACTATGTTCTACAAAAATGCTAGTAAAGTTTGCAAGACACGACTACAATTACTATAAATCTGTAGGAATACCATCAACGAATACCCAGGTTCTAGGTTATGAATCCTCAGGTTCTAGGTTTTATTCCTTGCTTTGTCATCATTCTGTTAACATCACTGGATTTTCTAACTCATATCAAAATCAGGATAAAAATGTTTAAGTCCTTTTTAAATGTTCTGGGACAAATTGCTGAGGAGTATGGTGCAAAACTGAAGTAAAATATATACAATTAATTAGCCAAAGTTTAACAACAGAGCAGAGAGAACATGGAAGGGTAGGGCTCTGTCTAAGTAGTCTCTCAGTGTTTGAAGAAAATCACTTTTCTGGTAAAACCTCCATTGTTACATAGGACAGGTTAAAAGGCTGAACTCTGCTGATGCACTGAAGAAATGGGGGACTAAACATTCTAAACTTACATTAGACTTTTGGCCCACTCAGACATGTATTGTCATTGTAGTGGTCACAATGTCCCCATTTAAAAACACAATACTGGATTCACAGTGTCCCCATTTATAATAGCAATACTGGATTACCTACCAATAATAATAATAAAAAAAAAGGTTGCAAGAAAGCATGAGAGTTCATCCCAGAAAACTGTCATGTCATAATCCAGAAGGATTTCGTAGGATTCCTGCTCATCCCAGAGTGCAGTGACTTACAGTAGCATTGTGAAATGGCCTTGCAATCTCATTGCAAGACCTTGGTAATCTCAGTTCATGACAGATTTGCATTTACATACCACATGAAACAATAAGGGTCTAAACAAGGACACCAGGTAGCTTTATGCTTGTTTTGAGTGGGCAAACACTGATGTCAAACAAGAGCTGAGAAAACTGGGAACCCGAGTCTATCACTGTTAAAATCCAAGCTTCTAATAGTGTTTAAATTGGCAGCAGAGCATGCCAGTAATGGAGTACACAGTAAAAAAAGCCTTTTTTTTTGTTCTCACAATCATTTCCCTTACAACAGAAACTCATCTCATAAATTCTGTGTACCATTGATGACTTAAATTTATTTTTGACGAATGTGGATGCGGGGATGTTGGAGGCAATTCCTGCTTTGGATATGTAGATGACTTCATGGACAAATAGAGAGACAGAGCAAGAGCAAGAACCAGCCATCAGCTGGTCAGTCACCCTCAAGGTGTCTTTTGAGTCATCCACGTTTCAGCAGCACCAGCTGTAGACTAAATTTCCTAAATCCTTGTATGGAAGAACCCCATAGCTCTGTTTGCTTCTTTACACCCTACCTAGCAACACATACATGGGATTGAGCAGGGATATGCCACCACACCTGGAAATAAAACTGCACACCAATACGGAAAGGTCCCCTCAACTGGCCTTGCACAACTTGAAGGTTACACAGAACGGTTTGAGATCGGTCAGGGGATGCACAAAATGGTTTGATATCGGTCAGGGGATAATCTGAAGAAACTCAGAACCGTGGCAGAGGTGGATGGATGCAAGCAGTGTTGCAACAGGGCAGGGCATGGTACAACAGGCAGGGCTCCTGTGTGTCTGGCAGGTCCACGCAGCCCCTGCAGAGCCCTGGGGCTGGCACAGCTCCTCCTGACACCTCTGCACCTCCTTCTTCTTCAGGAGCATGACAAGACAATGCTTGAATGCCTTAAGCATTTAAAGGTGCTGCCAGCCTGGTTTCTTAGGCAATATTACCAGAACCAGTTTTCTGACTGCAGCTGGAGGTCGATAAGCTTTGAGTACTCATAGCAGCAGGAAATTGTTGAGATTTCCTGTCTAATACAAATATCTGATTGATATATGATACACAAATCCAGTTAGGAATCTGTATCTAACCTGAGGACATTTGTAGCACCTGTGACTCTTATCTCCTTGCAAGGATTAAGGCTTCATAAATTGCACAGTTGATACAGTTCTGTCCTTATCTTCTGATACAAAAACAAAATAAATCTGACTAGAATGTCATAATCAGACAAAACCAACATTAATTTGAAAAAATTCCACCAAGACAAAAAGAATAACCATATAGCAACTAAGAGCCTGCTGTAAAAATCCAACAGGAAGCACAAGAGAGCCCAGTGCCTTCTGCTCTATCTTCTTGCAATTACAAGGTTGAGGCCATTACTACACTCTTATCTGGAAATATCTTATAAAGCTGAATCTGCAATTCTCACTCCTTAAATAAAAAACTTAGATAGCTAGACCCAGTGATGCCAATAGAACTACTCAGCCAAGTCAAAGGCTAAGAAAAATCACTT